CGAACGTTGCCACTATCCGCTTACAGAACGAGCTTAGCCGTGTCTCACCTGTGTCGGCAATCGTGAGACGCAGAGGAGAGCTGTGCCTATGCAACGAAACGCAGGGGAGTGTGGAGTGCTACGGCGGGGGCCTTTGGCACACGTGGTTCGATAGGGGACTTGGCATGGCTGGGAAGGTTGCTCTTCGCGTTGGTAAGGACTATCCTGCCGTGCTGTTGAACGCGCGTATAAAGTACTACTCTGAACCGAAAATGTCGTAAGTTGCCGCATGTAAGCTAACACCTGTATCGAGGTTCTACTTTGGGTGGCGTTGCAGGGGATAAAGTGGAGGAGAGGCTGTTGCGCATCTCAAAGCCTCTGTTTTACGTGCCGAACCTCGCTATACACTTGAAAACAGCCGAGGAAATTGGGGCCTTCAAAATCAACAAAGTGAGCACTAGGGTCCACTCCATGGCAATTCTTCTTATCTCGCTTTGTCTTTGTGAATCGCTCCACGGCTCTTCAGCAAAAATTGGTCTGCTGTGTATTAAAAAGCCTAGACGTTCACCGCCTCAGTAGAACAGATCAGTTCCTGGCAGTACCAAATATACTGTCAGGCTCAGGTCTTACGACGGAAGCCTTTGCAATTTTTAGGCGTGGGGTGGAGAAGAGTGCCTCAGAACAGAGGAGCATGACAAGCCTGTGTTCGCAATACAAAATCCCCTTTTAATTTGACGGGTGGCACGCTCTCTGCTTCTTTTGGTTGCACAGTGCCCAAGATACATACATGAAACCAGATACCGTAAAGTCGTTCATTTCCGCAGGAGCAACACCTACAACCAATATTGTGTTCCGCCATAGCCGAGCAGCTGAGCCAGGGCAACGAGGACGAAAAGCAAGAGACTAAGGATGCGGCCCAACGCTTGCCACCGGCGCTAGAACGTCTAGTCAGGCAGTGAGAGCAACTTTCGGTCTCTTTGGTGCAATCGGGCGAACAGTTTTTATTTGGATGCGCGAACTTCCTGGTTCAGCTCAGGGGTGTTCAGGCTGTGAAGCTGTTGATGGCATAAGAGTG